AGCTGAGTCAAACTCCTTCTGCACTTCGGCCGACCCGAACCCAGCTGCAGCAAGCCGTTGTACGGCTGATTTCAGTCGGTGTACGGCTGAAATCAGCTGTACAAGCCTGAAGTGAATAGCCGAACGGCGTTCGGCTCACTTCACTTCGGGTTGGTTATTCACACGGCTGCCTTTGGCAGCTTTGTGAATAACCCCCTATGTGTCCCCAGTTATTTACAAACACCGGAGTGATCACGCGATCACTCCGGTGTTTGTGCTGCACAGAGGATCGGTAAATATCAATGATACTTATCGATCCTCCGTACGGCCACGCACAGAGCCGCTGTCATCCGGAAACTGACATGATGACAGCGGCTCCGTTCTCCTCACCGCTCAGCCATCCTGAAACTTGTGGCTTCTCCCCGCCAGCCGACGCTTGCTGCTCCGCGCCCCACCCCCCAACCCTGGATATTTATTTTTATCCCTGTTGCCACAGCCCCTACAAGCGGGGGACAGCAGCGGGGATCCATGGAGTCACAGATCCCTGCCTGGAGCGGCTCCAGGCAGGGATGAGAGGCTCCAGATGCCGCAACTTTTCCCATTGATTTGATTTTCAACTGTTGCGTTGCTAGCGTTTGTAAAAGACCCGCCAAACCATATATTTTCTGAAAGCGTAGGCCCGGTAGAATAAAAAGATGGTGATACTAAATTTGTAGACCGTGCGATAATTGCGCAAATGTTTCTCAAATTAATATTAAACTGATAAAAAACACACTAAAATCAGTATCAGCGCACCAAAAAAATAATTTTCTGACTAAATCTAAAAAGATAAAAAAACTGTATTGGGTTAATAAATAAATATTTGCAAATTTGAAATTGAGCCTTTTTGCAAAAAGGTAAAAGAATTATGGTACACAAAACTGTAAATAAGCGACTTGTTAAAAAATTGTTTTCACGCTGTGTTGGTTTTTGTGTTGTGATAAAATAATGGGCGTATATTTATTGCAACACAAAGATTACAACGCATGGCAATGCGTCACAAAGCTTTGCCATGCGCTGCCACAGTTAATTTTATTTTTTTTAAAGAAAAAAATACATTAAAAAAATCATGCACTGCGATGCGTTCTAACAACGCACTGCAGCGCATGTGCATGGCGTACACCTCAATATGTGTATGTTATGTGGGGGGAGGGGGGGGTTGTGCTTTTTTTTATTATTTTTTTTGTACACATTTTTTTATTTTATTTTTATTTTACATTTTTATTTTTTTTATTTTTTATTTTTTTACATTTTCTATTTATTTTTTAATAATTTTTTATTTTTATTTTTTTACTGTTGGGGGGGGGCTGCGGCGAAATATCTGGGGTCTAAATAGACCCCTGACATTTCCCTTTTGAAATAGAAAAAGAAATTGAGGACATAAGTCCTCAATTTCTTTTTCTGCAGCCCCAGCACTCAATGAATGAGAAGCCTCAGTACAGAGGCTTCTCATTCATTCACAAACTAATGATAGTAAAAATATTTTACTATCATTAGTTTCTGAATGGGGAGGAGCCTCTGTAGTGAGTGCTAGTCCCCATTCATAAATTCTTGAATGAACAGGCTGTGATGTCGATCACAGCCTGTTCATTCATAACAGTTATTTACAAACACCGGAGTGATTAGACGATCACTCCGGTGTTTGCTGTAAACAGAGGGATCGTTAAATATCAATGATATTTAACGATCCCCCGCTCGGCCACGCTACACAGAGCCGCTGTCATCCAAAAACTGACAGGATGACAGCGGCTCCGATCACTCTGCCGCTCGGCCATCCTGAATTGCTCCCAGGACACCATCGCCGGTGATTTTATTACGGATCTCCGCTGCCACAGACCCTACAAGCAGCGGGGATCCATGGAGTCTCTCATCCCTCCCTGGGGTGGCTCCATGGAGGGATGAGAGACTCCAGATGCCAGTCTACTGCTTTTCATTCACTACCCAATCAGAGTGGGGCATGGGGGTTACTGTTGGCTTGGGGGTGTAAAGCTCAGGAATGGCTGAACAGAAATAATATGCTTTTGCAGGTAAAACACATCACATATATATATTTCAACCTCTTATTCAGAAGTCTGCCCCGCTTTAAAACAGAAATCAATTGCAACTCAGTTCTACTGGTTGATAGTCAACTGCATGACAGTCCTCTACTCTAGAGCCATGGCATATGCTACATCTGCCACAACATACCCCGTGCTGTTTGATTGGTATAGGTCTATGACCTTTCCACTTTCATAGCCAGATTAAGAGAACACCTACTTTATATCCGTTACATGTGCCCAGTCACATAGCATAACATGAAGAAAAAAAATAATTAAATTACCGCTTCCATTTCACTCGAACCTTTCTGAAACTCCAAAACTGAAGTCTTCTCCCACTATGCAACGTTAAGTTGTGGGCTGTAGTTATATTTACTGTAATCAACCCTGTACTGTACTGGTAGCTCTCACCAGTTGTAAACTTGATTTGTACACGGTCTGTCCTAACAAGGGGTTAAAGATCTCAGGGCTTGTGTTCTGCATTATATGTTATTGAGAGGAAATAGTGTTTGTTTCCCCATCCACTTTCAATTTTAAACTGTTCAGAGCAACTTGCAAAGAAACATCTAGAAATGTAAAAAGGTGCCCATACACTGGCCAAATTTCGGCCGGTTTTTAGTGTACCGGCTGAAATTCGCACAATGAGGGGGTTGAACGAAAACAAATTGGTGTATGGCGAGCCTTAGAAGCATCTTATTAAAAAATATGTTTATGTATGCTGTGTGACTGGGAAAACATATCAAAACATATGGTGGGGTCTCTCAAATTTGACTGCAAAAGTGGAAAACCACTTTAAGAAAAGCATAGCAGTCAAGAGGCGGAGACATCCTCCTCTGCTATCCAAGACACTCCACTGGAGGGTGCTACCATTTCCGTGCAGACCTTCAGTGATTTTAAATAAAGAACAGCAGCTAGCCTCAGATTTGTTTTAAGACTAGTTCATAAAACCTTAAACTATATGAACAATGAAATTCCAGCTATTATATGAAGACAAATTAACTACAAAGACAAAGCTGCATGAAAAAAGAAGTGCATGTTTCTCCAGCACCTACCTCTGAAGCGATCATCTCCAGTCCACGACACTGCCTGTCCTTCTCCTTTTGTACAAGGTCCCACATTTCTGGGTCGTTGTCTGCCAGACTCTCTTGTCCATTCCATGGCTGGTTCCCAACTTGGGATGCTGGTCGAGTGTGCTGGGCTCGAACATGGCAGCATCTCTGCAGTGGCTGTGAGTAAAGTGAATAAAATGCTGTAACTAAATTGACAAATATGTTTTTTCCTCATTACTAGGGCTGGAAAACCTTGCGACTAGATCCCCCCCAAGATACATGCTTACTTCATCTGCCTGATTACTATTATGAGGCCTCGTTCACACCTAAGTGTTTTTCCGCACAGATCTAAGTTATGGTGCCTATTCATCGCACGCACGAAACAGCTCCTGCATCTTTTAGCGTGAGGCAATTTTCAGGCGGATGCCGCATGGTTTTGGTCCCATAGACATCTCTATGCAGGGAGAAACATGCGAAACTGAAAACGCCAAGGTGTGGACCAGGCCTAAAAGGTGACAATCTCCTTTGCCAAGGGACTGGTATGCATTTATGTAGTAAGAAACCAGCTGCACTCCTTACCGGAATAGTAGTAAACCTGCAGAGCAGGTGGATGCTTGTAGTGACCACGGACGGCACTGAACAAGCAGATATAGTAAAGATTGTCACCAGCACACCAAAATGATTTGAAGCAAAAGTCCTTTAATGACATATTGCCATTCAGTACAAGCGCTTTCGGGGTCTCAACAGTACCCCTTAATCAGGCTCATTCTTCATCAGGCTCATTAATTCTGAGCCTGATGAAGGGGTACTGTTGAGACCCCGAAAGCGCTTGTACTGAATGGCAATATGTCATTACAGGACTTTTGCTTCAAATCCTTTTGGTGTGTTGGTATGCATTTATGGCACCTGCACTTGGAATGCTAAACAACTAAATGCATCATTTGCAGGACAACTGTCTCCTCCCCGCACCTCATTTTCAATTATATATTTGAAAATTATATCACACACAGAAAATATAGCAGGTCATAGCTAGATGTCTCATCAAGAACAATGGGTAGTTTATCCCTTCCTCAAAGCTGACATTTCACTTTTGGGGAGATGCTAGAAAGTTAAACCACCTAACAGTTTCCCCTCATGAATTTTGTTGGTGGGTATCGGGGCTTGAGGTTTTGGACCTGTATACCTACCGTTGCCATTATAGGGGATTTCCACATTTTCTGCAGAATTTTAACTTATTTTATAGCATGGACAAAAATCAGCAGAAGTTGCTGAAACATGCAAGGGTGGCTGGGAACTCCCAAAGCTCCTAAGTGGACAGCAGTTTATTTTCTCCATAGAAATATGAATGATCAGTCCTAAGAGAGTCTTTTCTATCTGGGTGTGTGATAACCAGCACTTGAGACCTTGATGGGCATTATAACAGTACAGTTAATCCATATAAATCTAATCAACAATTGGAATCCTGCATCTCTTGGAAATATCAGCTTATAAAGAAAAACGGTCACCCCAAAGCTGCCGCTCTTTTTGTATTGTCTCTGTGCGAACTTAATAAATCTTCTTGCAAAAGGAAGCTGGGTATTTTACTGCCCATTCAATGGTGTTAAGATAAAAGCCAAACTTACGATTTGCCTGCTTGCTCTGTGCAAGTGTATTCGAGAATTAAAAGGAGAACTATGGGGTTAAGTCTTTTCCCCATAGTTCTCCTTAGGGTAACGGGAGGACACAAACTAGCATCCTCCCGTCACCCTAGGCTCAGTATAGCTGTAGCTCACGGTATACTGAGACGCCGCAGTGTCGGGATCCGCCCAGCTGTGTGACCGATAGCTGGTTCTGCCTATCTAGAGGCAGAGCCAGCTGTACCCGCCCCCTCCCCCGTCCATTCCGCCAGTCAGCGCTGGCTGATCAGAGCGGGGAGGGGGAAATCCAGTCCCTCCCCTGTCACGGCAGAGAGCCGTGACGGGATCGAGAGGTGAGCGAACGCCAGTAACTGTTCACTCACCTCCCAATCTACTGAGCCGACCTGTGACAGTCTCATTGGTCACAGGTCGGCTAGAACTATGAGGTGAGTGAAAAGCACTCCTCATAGTTCTCCTTTAAAGCCAGAGACAGCCAGGCCATTTTTTCAGGAGGCCAGCAATGGCAGACTCTGCATTTTAAAAATGAGTTACAAGAAAAATCTCCAGTTTGTAAGAAAATTCCTTTTACTGAGCCATGCCCTGTCCCACACATGGGGCACTTATCACTAACCATGTTTAGCATGACCAATAAACACCACAAGAGTGCCAGAATGGCTGTCAATTCATTGTTAACCAAGTGAAAATGAATAACGAAATGAGACTACCTACTACCAGAACCCACGTGTAATTGTTCTCTGAAGCCTGTTGGCCACATCACCCCCTGAACTGTCCTGTAATAGTTCTCAAACTATTACAAAGTATGCCATTTAGAAACCGGTCATGTTCTAGGGAGGTGGGGGCTCTCACAATAAGGACTGAATGGCACATGCCATTACTGAGTGACCTAAACATTGTAGTGAACTTGTGCCCAGACAATATACACTGAAATATTTAGATATTCTGAGCAAACAGTAAAAGCACATTTCCCCTCACCTCTGTAGCTATAGGCATTGTGGAGAAAGTAATCTTCAGATTTCAGAGGCACAAAAATCTGATTGTTTTCCATTACATTCTATTAAACTAGGATCTTGGCAGCCTGCCAGCCCTTTAATGTAAAAGTTGGCCATTTACCAGTAGAATGTTATTGGAAAAGTTGTTTTCAGGACGTTAGATTTTCTAAGGATTAGTAATGGTTTCTAATCATTGTTCGTTTGACTGATGAGGAATATCGAGGGAGCAAGATCAAACATTTTTCCTTCTTATGTGAATGTATGATTTTCTTACCGTGAACGTAATTTTCATTTGGTTAAATATTGTAATGAGCATGCGCTTGGCACAAAATAAACTTGTTTAATACCATTCCATTCAAGCAGGTCCGGAGGAACTTTCTAAGGGCTTTTGAACAAAATTAGCTGGATTTAATGATGGCAAGGTCGAATGCTCTAATGAACAGTTTTGAACAAATGTTCCAACTGAATTCTAACTTTGTATGGCCAGCTCAAGAAACAGACTGAAGCCTAACTGTGTTGTGATCTTAAGGCTGACTTACTCTGCAGCAGATGATGCTACAAAAAAGGTCAGGGTAGTAAACCACATTGTAAGTTTCTTTTTTCCACCACATTAAGGCACACTTGCCTTACAAATGTGCCCTTCTCCAGCACTGGCGATATTTAGTCCTCAACTCGGTGCCGCGCAGCCAAAACGTCCGGTTCTCGGTGGTCCTCTATGGCCTATACACGACCACTGATTATTTAACTCCTGCACAAATGCACAGGAGTTACATCCTCCCTGGCATCCAGCCCATTCACAGCACCTTAGAGATGCCGTGAATGGACTGAGCATGTACACTGCACAGTGCATGCATGAACATTGCATGTAGACTAAAAAAGAAAAAAACGATGGGGGAAGAGGAAGAATTTTTTCCCCAGAAGAGACTTTACATGTCTCTTCCAAAAATACCTACAGTACTTCTACAGCAATTTTTTAATTTTATTGACTTTACTTCCTCTTTAAAGCTTGTTTACTGCGTGTTAAAAGTATGTAAATAATTCAATGCCCACAGTCTGGTCAAAGGTGCACTTTAAACGGAGAAGAGGCCAATTTAGATTGAGTGATATCAAGAAAACATGAATCTGGGAGGCAGTAATCTGTAAATATCAAAACAGATAGCATTGGATACATACATTGTCAAAGAAAGGACCCCCTTCAACACAATAAAAAACAAGTTTAAACATACTGAAGTAATTATATAAAGATGCTCTTTGTTACCTTTCCAGGCTGTAATCCATGTATAAATGCAATATTAGTCACTCACTGACTGAAAAGTGCATCTATTACAACCCTGAATATACTGTATATTTGCAAGTCTATGGCTTACAAAAGCCAGCTGAATGATTATGACAGTTTGGGACAATCTGTGGAGAAACTGTTAGATAATTTTCTTCTTGTGCTGCCTCAGCAATTACCGCCCTTGCTTTCTGCCTAAGGAACTGACAAAAGTCATGTTCCTGGATTGCATCAGCTGTAGATTATATAATATACAAAACTCCAAAACAGAATATTGAAACAAAGCTCGTGAAACAGCTAAAATCTCTGTGCCTGCTGCTGGACTTATGTAAAATCAAGCTAGAAGATATTGCATAAGAGAAAGAGCTCAGTAAACTTTTCAAGGTTCCAAATATTTGGTTTAAATGGTAACAGCTAGATTAGAGATAAATATCTTTTGTCTTTTGTTTAATTTTAAAGTAGAACTATAGGCAAAACATGAAAAAAGGGAAAATGTTGTGCACCTTAAAAATTTAGCTATATTTGCCTTTTATATTTCTTTCTACTATACCGGCAAACATCAATAATTACTCAATCTTGCTAGACCGCTCTAATTTCTTCCAATCAGACGGGGACAACGACAGGCCACCTCTATAGAAACCATAGTGTCGTTTCCCCTTTACATCAGTTATCCATTTCAGCTCGTTTAACCCCTTTTAATAATGTCTATCTGTATGCTTGGCATTGCAAATTTGGATTTCTACGATTTAGGCCTCGGTCACATGGGGCAAGTTGAGCCATGCACTTTAACCCATTCATGACTGAGGCCTTTTTTAAATTTTTTGCACCCATGTTATATTCCACATTTTAGGCCTGAAAATTACTTAAAACCCCCACACATTATATATTTTCTGAATGCCAAGACCCTATACAATATAATGGTGGTAGTTGCAAATTTTTATGTTGCGCAATATTAGCGCAACTCCTAACGACTCGCGGGGGCCGGGGACTTTTAACATTTTTGTATTATTATTACTAGATTTATTTGATTTGATTTTAAAACAGTTTTTTTTTTTTACTTTACTTTGACTGCTATCACATCTTTAAAAGGTGATGCTTGGGGTCCAAAAGACCCCTAGTGTCACCTTTACACTGAAAATAAGCTATTGAAGTGCAGATCGCACGTCAATAGCTTATAGCTGGGCTGCAGGAGCCCAGAACTGACAGCCCAAGGACCGGAAGTGATGCAATCTGCATCGCTCCCGGTCCCATAGAACGGGGAGGGGAATCGATGAA